GATGCCATGCCCAGTGGCGGTAATTGTCCTCCTGCTTCCCACCAGCGCAACACTGGGGTGGTTGAATCATCTGCTGAATATTGCGCCCCGGACGTCACATCTCCCGACATCGAGCATGCGCCCAGACCACTTGCTTCTGCTGCTGAATCTGGCAGCCAGGCTGCCACATCTCCTGAACTCGGGCATGCAGCCAGGCCAGGCCAGTACGCCAATGGCGATCGGCCGGGCCGCTATCTGCAATCACGCTGCATTTTATGCTTTGGTGGCAAAACTGGCCATGATCCCTCCGCGACGTATGTGTCATTGCCTTTTGTTCGGTGTGTACTCTAATGTTCCTCGGCAGTGTTGATGTTATAGCTTGCCTAGACGCATGCTTTACGCAGAAGAGACGATCCGGCCTTCGTGATCCTCAGCATATTCATCCATCAAGTGTGTTTCTGTCGGACGCGGAGGTGGCGGACATGGAGGCGACAGTTGAGCGTTTGCGCCCCAGCAGACCTCGCCCGAAGCAAACGTTGGAATTGCCCTCAGACTCCTCGCCGCATTCGAGGAAAGGCAAGCGCAAAAAGACGGAGACCGAAGTCGAAACCGACAAGTGCGAAGGACCCCTGCGGGTCCCGAATTCCGTTCTCGATGGCTGCGAGGCCTCTTTCAAGGCCGCCGACGAGGAACGAGAGAAGGCTAGCACAAAGTTCTTTGACGACACCGGATTAATGGCCATCATGTGCCGTCACGATTGCGTGCTCTGGCTTGCCAACATCACGACAGCGGGCGAACGTCAACATTACGCTCTGGCCCTCCTTCACAAATACTTCCAACATATCCCTACCTCTTATCGTGTCGGTGTTCTGTACGATATCGGCTGCCAGCTTCATCGCAGCTGCTACAAATGGGGATTCTTGCCTGAAGTGAGGGACCGCATCCTGTTTTCAATATCGGTCTTCCATGCGTACAACCATCAATGGCCATGTCAAGTTGCATATCACCCGCGCAAATGTATCGGATTCGGACTTTCAGACGGCGAAGGGGCCGAGCGATTTTGGAGCTCGATTGAACACCTTATACCAGGTCAGAGGGTTCGCGGTGTGAGTTTTTCGTTCTTCTCAGTTCCCAATTCGCTAACCGTCACCGAAAGTATTGGGAACGCCTATATGTCCTCAATAACCAGATTCATTTTGACGACATGTTGCATCGTCGTACGCTCGGTGAATGGATATTGAGGAAGTTTCTCGTGTGCATGGAGCGATTGGGCGAAGCCCTTGAGGGCTTAAAAGAATGTGGTGTTCCCCTAGCGATCCTCCGGACTGAGTGGGCTTCTCAACAGGCAGCACAAACCCGGCCTATCCCCCGTAAGCCCCGACGTCCTCGATGTTCTATCATCATCTCACGGGAGACCAGGTCAATCCAAGAACGCCGCAAACAAGCACATTGATGCAATATTGAAAATGGATGAGCGTGTCCAGATCCTGAACATTGCGATCGCCAACCTTGAAGCCGCCGATGAAGAGAACGACGACAATCTTGTCTACATGCAGGATTTCGAGGAAGAAAGGTCGCGCATTCAGCGCCGCATCCACGACGCCGAAAGAAAACTTGATATTCGTGATCGAGAGGTGCTGCGGCGACTGTACGACGACAAGTACCTCAGGAATCGCCTTAATGCGCTCGCGTTGAAGACTCGTATCCGCGATCGCCTTCGTCAACGGAAGTTCGAATTCCGCAGAATAGAACGTGCTTTACGGTTGCAGTCTAAGGGTATGTTGTATGCCCTGAATACGGTGAACTATCTGATGATGAGCGCACCTTCAGAGCGCAAGCTAGCCACGCATGCCAGCGTTGCGATACAGCGACGTGAACCTGGCATACAAGCACTTGCGCGCCGATACAATACCCTATGCTCGGAGATGCGCAAGCTCATTGCTTGTGGGCAAGCTCCATCTCGAGCTGTGCCACCGGATGCTATCGACCTCGAGAAATTGTGGACCCTGATGTTGACGACAACATCTGGCACGACACCGGTCTATTTGATGAGGACGACGTGGCTTCGCAAAAGCCTCCCCGTTGGCTGGCAGATGAGAAAGTCCGGGATGGTATCTGTTTCATGTTGGAGGTCGATCGTTGTGAGGAAGAGCTAGCCCGGCTCCGCATGGAAAGAACCATCTTGCAAAGTTGGCTTCAGGACCAATGGGCTGCGGTAAACGTCGCGCGAGAACAAGGTGCGCTGTGATTTCATGTCCCGGCAACCCGTCTCATACCGTCATCCAGCCACTAGCGAAGGAATGCGACACCAGTTAGGTCTCCAGCGAAGCGAGATGCTTCGACTCGCCGTTGTTTGGGCACTACGTGCCGGAGATGTCCCTTCCCTCGATGAGTGGAGCGATCACTGGGGCCCGACGAGTGAAGAGATGTCCCAAGCACGAGCGGAAGAGCTTACCGTCTCCGCATTGCACAATCCGGTTTCGCCGACAGATTGGGAGGACGAACATGATGATCCAGATGCTGTTACGGACGACGACGAACACGTTGTTGATGCCGACCAGGATCCTGAAGGTCACGAGCGCGAATCTACAGCTGCCTTGTTTGACATATTGGAGGATTTACATTTGAATGTACCGGAGGTTTCTGAGCCCGACGCCCTGACGAATCCAGGATTTTCGGCACCCTCTACGCCTGTACGACAAGAACGGCGTCTTAGCCAGCGGCTGTCAGCCACTCCGGGAGGATCACCATCGTCCTCGTCAAGCTACGTTTCACCTTCCACGGCCGCTCCGAATACGTGCATGTCAGCTCAAGTATTCTCACCCTCTCCTCTCAGAAGACCTATATTTCCTCGCCATTGTAAGAGTCTCTGTATCATACTCGGAATTGTGGCTAAATGTTGGTCGTGCATTCAGTAGCATCGTCATCCCGTTTGCAGGCACGGGACATGCCTGTGGAGATTGAAGATGTTTTCTTCGTACCAACAAAGAAGACTCGCACACGCTAACATTTCAAGACTGTTCAGTGCCTTCCTAATCCTTGTCTATTCCGTCCATCCGGATCTCGCCACCTGGTCTCAAGCCTTGTCACAAACTCGACCGTTCGCGCCGCTGCCCATGGTGATGATCTGGCCCGAGAGGCCGCGGAAATGGTCTGTATGTAGCATTCGCCTGCGTTAGGTTTGCAACTCTCGAAATAGGGGTGTCATCCACGTACCACGGCACTCCCCTTTGCTCTGTGCCCTCACCTCACTGGCCTTTCGTCGGCATCTCAGCAAGCAATGCATAGTCATGACTGCTGCTAGCTCACCGCTTGACTATCTTTTTGCCCATGATTCTTATAATGATTCATCATAATACAATAAGTTCATGGTTCACTGGAAGGGGCTTCGTGAGGCAGTGTCAAGTGCCGCGTGTACCCAGCGCCAGGCGCCATACTTTGCCTCTCACCATCACCATCGATAATGCCCTTCGCTGACCATCCTTCGTCCGTGAAGTGGCACTCAACACTCTTGATACCCTCGGCGAGATCCAACACGCGTCATGAACCGACTCATCTGGAACCTGACACCGGGAAGGAGCATCATCTCCCGATAAGGAGAACAAGATGCAGACCCCCGTGTTATCGTGGCCAAGGCTGACATGGCTAACGACCTAATTGACATCACGGTTGACAACCTCGATATCAAGGTTAGTCGTGATGAAATACCTCACCGCGTTTGTCACGTTTTCTCGCTGACGATATCCTCACGGTTGTTGCAGGTGGAGTGCTCTGAGGACAGCCACCCTCGATACTCGTCGCACGAATATGAGCGCCCGCCGTCGCCGGCACCTTCCAACAAGAAACCGAAGCGTCGTCCGAAGCCCATCGAAGTCGATGATGATGAACATGGGGGTGTGTCCGCGCCCCCCCCCGCACCGGCATGATCGCTACCGTTCGCTGTCCAAAGATCCGGAACGTCGCTCAAACCGGAACGATGGTCCTGCAGAAGAAGGATTCCCTATGGCTCCTCCCCGGTGGTCGGGTTCCATACCGCCATCGTCCAGAGCCCGGGAGCGCCTGCGGCAGCAACAACTCTCGGAACGACGACCTCACGCTCTTATGCCTCGCGACTACGATTACGACATCGGCCGCTTACAACGCCGCCGCAGTCGTTCTCCGGATTTTGACCGTTGGCGGCAGATGTCTCCATCTGTTGATTGGGAT